TATATATGCCATTATATATATATATATATATATATATATATATATATATATATATAATGTAATAACATTGATTGGTGATGAGAGAGCAGACTTTTATTATTTTAGCTATTGATAGAGAGAAGTTTAACTTTGCTTTTCTTAGATGCTTTTTAAGCGATTTAAGCATTTTTCAACTTGGGTATTAGTGCAAAGGGATTTTATATCTAAACTGGCCATGAGTTTGTCTGTCATATTTATTTTCCTTAGTTCTTCAACAAACTTGTCAAAATTATATATATATATATATATATATATATATATATATATATATATGAATTTAAAGGTGCCTATATATATATATATATATATATATATATATGATGAAATGAATTTTAACGTCTCTCTCTCTCTCTCTCTCTATATATATATATATATATATATATATATATATAAAAAACGTTAAAATTCATTTCATTATATATATAAATATATTAAAATTCATTTTTTTTTTTTTTCATTTAGCATTGACAAGCCCCAGAGAGATTATACGGTGGTGGTGGTGGTGGTGGGGACAGAAATGGCCATCAAAATGAAGGTACAATTGTTTCATTTTTATGTAATTCATTTATATGCTCTATAACAAATATATTGAGCTTTCTTTTGTGGATCAGTTTTAATATTTTATATTATTAGGTTCCACTTGGATTACTTACCACGGATCTTTTATATATATATATATATATATATATATATATATATATATAGAAAAAAGTTGCAAATTAAAAAATAATAATGTTTTTATTATACATATATATATATATATATATATATATATATATATATATATATATATATATATATATATATATATATTGTTAAATAATAGGGTTATGTTCTGTCTATTTTTTTATTAAATCTTTCAAATGTCCAAATAAGTTGATTTGTGTTATCAGGAAAATTGCCAATCTTGAAATCAAATCGAATGTATTAAAAATATGTAGTAGAATGTAGTAATATGTAGAAAATATTATATATATATATATATATATATATATATATATATATATATATATATATATATATATATATGTGTGTGTGTGTGTTGTGTGTGTGTGTGTGTGTGTGTGTGTGTGTGTGTGTGTGCATGTATAATGTATTGGGAACGCCACAAATTATGATAGCGTTGGTTTCAATAGTCGAACGCACATGAAACCTGAAGATCCAACAATGCAAAAATAATAGAATATATTTCTTCTTTCCTCGATATATTATTCTGTGATGAAGCTTCAATAAAAGTGAAACGTTATATTGCTAAACTTTTCCTATTTGTTAATCATCTTATATATATATATATATATATATATATATATAAGCAAGTGTAAATGGATAAAATCCGACAGAATGTAGAAATTTTGAAAAACAAACAAAAATCCATAAATGTAGTTAAAATGAAAGAATTGTCGACGTCAGATGTTTCGGTTTTAATAAACCATTTTCAAGACAAAATTCATTAAAATACAAATTCAGTTCAATATGACGAAAACGATGGACATAAAAACACAAGTCTTATCCAAGAGTAAAACAGATAACTGAAAATTTTTTAAAAAGATCAGCTTTCCGTTTAACGTGGTCACGCCGTAGTCACATGGGCGACGCTCCCATAACGTATTCCTAAAAGTTCGTGATTATTTTAAAATTCCTGTATTTCCGGATAAGCCTGCAATCTTCCATGTTGTAAAAAACGAATTTAGGTTTGTGTTTTCAATAGACAGTATATAAGCAAGTGTAAAAGTTTAACGTGGTCACGCCGTAGTCACATGGATTTATGGATTTTTGTTTGTTAAACGGAAAGCTGATCTTTTTAAAAATTTTCAGTTATCTGTTTTACTCTTGGATAAGACTTGTGTTTTTATGTCCATCGTTTTCGTCATATTGAACTGAATTTGTATTTTAATGAATTTTGTCTTGAAAATGGTTTATTAAAACCGAAACGTCTGACGTCGACAATTCTTTCATTTTAACTACATTTATGGATTTTTGTTTGTTTTTCAAAATTTCTACATATATATATATATATGTGAAGGCAAAAAATCGGCAAAATTGGATTTGCAGAAATTTTGTACTTTTTTGGCTGTATGGGCAGGAACACGATTCTGAGTCCATACATAGTTTCCTTCTGAGTAGTTGGCCTTAAGCCATGGTAAAACATTGTATCTCAGAGTCTTGTAATAGGCATCGGTATTAACTTTTTTTTTACCACGTTTGTAAAATTTGATAGTCATTTTCTTCCTATTGGAGGCAACATCTTTAAAGACCATAACTTGGAACTGGATGTTTCATCCTGAAAGTGTCATTGGCATAAACGTTTGAGTTATTCCTGCGATTCAGAACAGCGTCATCAGTAAAGATCTTTTCGTCTGAGATAATTTTCACAGTGGACTTGTTTCTTTTATAAGAAACAATAAGTCATCTTCTGGAGGCCCGGTGGAGTATTGAGGAATCGGAGAGCCGAGTTAGAATTCTAGTCGAATTCATTACATTTACTTACATGCTAATACCCTTGGGAAAAGTATGAATTATCTTCTTCTCCCCCCAGTTCTATAGCCTTGGATGGCATCTAGTCTACCGCAGAAAGAAATGGCAACCTACTGCGGGAAAAAATCTAGCTCGTCAGTATCGAAAGATACATGATCGCCTAAGCGTCTATCATGCATGACACAGAACTGACTGAATCTTCTGTGCAAGTCAATTACCATCATTTTGAAACCTCTTGGTGCGTCAAACGTTCTGTTCCTGTTACTATCAAATAATAGCCTTTTATATGCCATGGACTTTCAGGACGTGGACGATCAATGCTCTCCACAACCTTCTGTTATTTTTTTTTCCCCGCTGATTAAGGTTAGATCCATTACTATCACGTTTGTCCTTTTCATGTTCTCCATTCACTCAGTGGCTTACTAGCTTTTCTCCGCTACTACTCTTGCCTTCAGTATGCCCTGTGAGTGTGAAATTCTCCAAGCCCACTTTCCTCAGCGCTTTCCGATTGTTAGCATCAGTTTCCTTTTACGTTTATCTTTTTCTATTATGATTTTTCCTCTTTTGTGCCAAGAATACCATGGACTGAACATGTGAGCAAAGTTTTAAGGATCATCGAAACAGAAAGATGATCTATACTTAGAACCAGAAAAAAAGTTGACATTTCTAGGGCACATAATGCAGTAATAATGCTGGTCTTTATTTACATTATTCGGACTATTGTCCTCATCTTTGTCGCCATATTTATCACAAAGTTTCGGCCGTTGTACGCTCCGGCCTTCTTACGCCCCCAACGTTTCGGCGTACAACGGCCGAAACGTTGTGATAAATATGGCGACAAAGATGTGGACAATAGTCCGAATAATGTAAATAATGTACATAATACCTCATCTCAGAAATATAGACAGATAATAATGCTGTTCTAGAGAAAAGCAACAACGGCAAAAATTGCAATATAAGGTCTGGTAAAAAAAATGAAATAATAATAATGAAAAAAAATTGCAATATGAGCACTGATAAAAAATGGTTGCTGAGGCATTAGGTTGATAAGTCCAAAAAAAACTTTCACAGATGTCCTCAAGGGCACATTGGTTAGATCCAGTGACTAGACCCAAAGAGTTGTGAGTTCCATACCAGGCCAGTGGTGAACCAAACTTGGAGAGTTAAGTTAAAAAGGAAATGACTGAGACACCCGAAAGAGACATGGCACGTGGAACTAGAACAATCTAAACCGGTGGACGGGTTTGGTTCGAAATTCCAATCACGACTAAATGTAAATAATATGTGTGGTGATGATTAGGTTGGCGGTGTTGTTGGCAGCCATGATAAAAATCTTGATGATCAACAACAGAAATAACAATGAAAACAACGTTGGTATGTAAGGAACGAATGCTTTTGAGGTTGTTGTTTTTTGGCTTTTTTTTCCCTTTGATAAGAAAGGGATTTTTCAAATCGACAGAAACGTAGGGTGGCGGAAGGAGAGAAGAGAACGAAAGAGAGACGCATTAGATATAGAAGAGAGACTTCTCGAGTATTTGCACAACTGGCATCACACCCAAATTCTTGTGGTTACAAGGTAAAAAGTGGTATGAAAAACAAGATGGAAGACCTTAATTCAATCGACGTCCCAATGGCCGTGGAAAGAATGGACGAGAAATGAGAAACAAGAAAAAAATGCCAAAAATTGCCGTTAGGAAATAAATATAGAGAAAGAATAATGTAAAAGATACAGTAATTAAACATTAATATATATATATATATATATATATATATATATATATATATATATATATATATATATATATATATATATATATAGGGCGTGTTTATATAGATATTTTCATTTATGCGCATTTTAAACATACCAACGAAAATTCTTTTGTTTAAGAATTTTTTACTTATATTTTTCTACGGTTCAGGTCATTTTCTTGCTTATGGGAGATATATTTGATTATAAATAGCCCAATATTTTAGCAATTTTTTGTCTTTCATTGGCTAGAGTTTATTATAAATACCCACTTTTTCAATTTTGTCTTTCATTGGCTATTATCAAATACCCACTTTATCATAGATTTCTCTCTCTCTCTCTCTTTCACTCTTTCTACACACACACACACATATATATGTATGGTGGGATAAATGAATAATTTATGAAATAATTCCTTTTAATATTTTGTCTTTCATTGGCTGTTATCAAATACGCTCGTAAGAAATATATATATATATATATATATATATATATATATATATATATATATATATATATATATATTCATAGATTTCTCTTTCTCCCTCTCTTTCACTCTTTCTATACACACGCGCGCACACACACACACACACACACATATATATATATGTATATATACATGGTGAGATAAATCAATAATTTATCAAGTAAATCAATAATTCATTATAATATATGGTGGGTAAATCAATTATTCCGTAGCCTAATGATTAAATGAAGCATTCACTTAAACATTTTTCAGTATTGTTGTCTATTGTTGTCATTTATATATATATATATATATTTTATTAATTATCAACTTTCTTTATCAATTATCATATCTATCTATCTATCTATCTATCTATCTATCTATCTATCTATCTATCTATCTATCTCGAGTATTTATATATATCCAGAATTACCAAAATGAACAGAGCTCGAGGAACCGGAAGTGTTTCAGGATCATTAAAAGCCATTAAGTGTGGAAATGTCTCCTTGGAATCGAACCAACAATGTGTACACCAAAGGACAGGCGACTTTAACAAATGCAATCTCCTTGTTGTAAATAACATCTGCAGCAAAAACAAATGTCTACTTTTTTGACAGGAGTAGTTCCATAACATAAGACATTGACGGCTGGGTTTTAAGGCTTGAAAGCTTCTTCCCTTAATGAAAGTCACTCAGTCTTCGTACTCCTATTTTGTTTTAGCGCTGTCGCTTTTAAAACTCCTCTTAGTAAATATTTAGTTTGGCGCAACAGAATCTTCCAACTGTCAGTTTTCTTCAGATAAAAGCCAAAATCTCGAATGATGATTCTGAAAACTTGTAGATCTTCTTGACATGTAAGTTTGGCGTAGCACAATCTTTTCTGCAGTTTCCATATTTTGGTCTTTTATCTCACAAAGCCGGGCTCAATAATTATTTATTTTAGGTGCTAGTAGTCTGTTTTTGGCCCAAAGTAAGACATTTAATGCTGATTTTGAAGGGTTTCAGAGCTTCTCTAGTTAAAGAGCTGGCGTAGCACATTCTTCCTACCTTCATTTTCTTTATATTTGTTCTTTTGTAGTGCAAAGATACAGTTAGTTATTATTGTTCTCAGTGGTTTGAATTCGAGCTCACATAAAAGCCACGACCTCAAATACTGATTTTAAAATACTCCTGAGCTTGAAAGTTTGAGGCAAAAAATATTTTTTCCACAAAATTTCTTCTATATGACCTTGTATTGTTCTACTTCAATTTAAGTAAATATCCTAATCACGTGGTGCGTCGTCCGCTAAATTTCGCTGTCTTTTCATTAAAAAGCATAAGTAAGCTATCTTTCTGTGTTCTTATTTTGTGTTAGATTGATTAAAGGCCTTTGTCTTTTATGTACACTCATGAGCCACTGATCTAACAGTTCATTTATTCAACCATATTTGACACACATGCCTACACTCGTGCCTTTATGTGTGCTGCAGTGCCGGCTTGAAGACAACGCTCAGATCTGCCGAAAGAGGCGTTCTCAGACATGCGCAGTCGGGACGTAAGCGTTTTTAAAAAGTGCATCTTTTTCTTCGCCTCGCGGAACATCTTGTTAACAGATGGCTGACTCTGTGCAACAGAAAATATGGGAAACGTAGAGACAAGCACACGAATTCAATTGCATACTCTTTCTTCTATTTCGTCTCTCTCTCTGTCACTCTTTCTTCATTTTCATCTCTCTCTCCCTGTCTCTCTTTCTCTCTCCCACACACTCACACACCTACAGTTGAGATTCTGAATGAAGTTTTGAGAAATCTGTTCATGAAGTATCGTACTTAACCTACTTTCTACCATATCCTTCGAAGTCATCCACTTGGATATATATATATATATATATATATATATATATACTGCGTGCCAAATTATTATCGAGATAACTTTTTTGTAATATTTCAAAAACCGTCCAATCAATTAAGACAAAATTTTCACACAATGTTGACAACACTGATCTGCGCAACCACTAAAATTTTCGTACTGATATGCGCAATGTAAACAAACTGGCGCCATATTTGTTATTAGCACGGTGATTTGAGCATGCCAAATTATTAGAAAAGTGTAAGAATTTAGTGAAAAGATGGGCCGTAAAAACAGTTTAAGTGATGCTGAAAAGAAACTATCACCTCTCAAAAGGTAAATCTACCCGAGAAACTTCTAAAATGATAGGGAGGTGTCATCAAACAGTGAAAAAGTTCACCGCCGACCCTACACAAGTGCGCAAAAGGGCAGATAAAGGCAAGCCGAGGGTTATTTCACGTCGTCTCATGTCACGACTTAAACGAGAAGCCACAAAGAACCCTGGACTTACCAGCCAAGAGCTTTTCAGTCGTATTGGGGATCCTACTGTGTCTAAAAGTACTCGGTGTCGGTATCTGAGGGAAATAGCAACAACAGTCAAACCTGTATCGACGAGAAATCACATTCAAAATCAATTGAAATGGGCCGAGGACAATATGAAGATTGACTTCTCTAAAGTTTTGTTCACAGATGAAACTAGAGCAACACTTGATGGGCCAGGTAGATGGTGCTAAGTCTGGGTAATGAACGGACAGAATCGTCATCAGCGTTTGAGACGAGAACAAGGCGGTGGAGGCATAATGATCTAGGGTGGTATTATTGAAAAAACATTAGTGGGCCCATGGAGAGTACCAGATGGCGTCAAAATGACTGCTGATGCATACATAGCATTTATGAAGGAGCATCTTGAACTGTGGATGAAAAGGCTTAGAGTTGCCTTCAGAAAGGCCATTGTTTTTATGCAAGATAACGCTCCCTCACATGCTGCTCACAAGACTACTGAATATTTGAAACAGTTAGGCTTCGATGGACCTCGAAAAATGAAGTGGCCAGCAAATTCTCCGGATTTGAACCCAATCGAAAACCTTTGGAGCATCATGAAGCGAAGACTGTACGCCAACGGACGACAATTTAGGAGCAACGCTGAGTTGTGGGAAGCAGTTCTTGACATATCTTGCGGCATTACAGCAGATGACATCCTACAATTAACAAATTCTATGGATCAAGTAATTTCAAAACAGGGAAAGCACATTCCCTATTCATTTGTTTAAAACTGTGCCTTTGTTTGTATCTGTTATTATTTGTTTAATTATCTTATTTATTAGCTTCTTTTGATCATAAGCATTCACGTGCAACATTAATAAACGTTTTGTTTGCTCAATTCTGGGAATTTTACTAAACCTTTCTAATAATTTGGCACGCTCAAATCACTGCCAGTTTGTTTACATTGCGCAGATTAGTAAGAACATTTCAGTGATTGCGCAGGCCAGTGTTGCCAACATTGTGCGCAGGCCAGTGTTGCCAACATTGTGTGAAAATTTTGTGTGAATTGATTGGACGGTTTTTGAAATATTAGAAAAAGTTATCTCGAAGATTGAAGAGCAACTTGTCAGTTGTCGATATACCTCATAGCACCCTTAAGCGCTTAGCCTTGGAGCGGGTAGAGTGGAGATCAACTTGTTTTAGCGGACTCAGCGGTTTTCAATCTGCTAGTCTGAATCGTCTTCAAGAAATGAGAACAAAATCTAAAAGGTCAGCCAATCTAAGAGTGATCTCATCCCACAATTCTCACTCTTGCTCCACATTAGGCCTCCTTTGCAAATCACTTCCGGGTCTTAAGTCCCACTTAAGATTATCGCTCAAAATTCATAACTGAATCAATTGGTTAAGTTGTCAGATCCTCATACGTCGAAATCGAGGGGAGAGTCCATTATTATATATATTGTTTGAACGCTCTCTCCCTATATATATATATATATATATATATATATGTGTGTGTGTGTGTGTGTATGAAAAAAATAAAAGATGAGCTTTGCTTTTGTCATTTTTCTTATATATACATACATACATTCGATGTTTTTTGGTAAAATTTCCACCTCCAGTCTTTACCAAGAAACATCGATTTCGGAATAAAATTTATATTTAAAAGTTAAGTAATTTTCTCATATAATATTATTAACGCTCTATTTTTAATATTATTTTAATATTGAACACTATATATAAAAATATCTGCTGTTTCTTAAATCTTAAATCTCTCTCTCTCTCACACACATATATATATATATATATATATATATATATATATATATATATATATATATATATAGGTAAAAAATCCGTGGCTAAATAATCAAGTAGATACTAATAATATAAAATATTAAAACTGATCCATAAAAGAGAGCTCAATATATTTATTATAGAGCATATAAATGAATTACATAAAAGTGAAACTCTATTACCCAATTCAGATGGCTATTTCACCCCAGGGAGAATATCCCGGGGATATATATATATATATATATATATATATATATATATATATGGGAGAAAGAACAAATGGATTAAAAATTCACAGTTCGAAGCATTTACTTTTTAAAAAAATGCTCAATACAAAGTAGAGCAAAATATTATTATTATATTTTTATTATAAGAGATTATAATAAAAATATTTTGAAATCGCTACCTGAAAGCTTTCATGTTTCAATAGTATAATTCTTCAAGCGATGGTAACCTTTTGTGTAGCAATTTAAAAATGTTTTTATTATAATCTCTTGTAAAAATATCATATTATATATATATATATATATATATATATATATATATATGCTGTTTTCACAACGTGTTTTCTTTTATGAGCTGTATCTTTTCAGAATGGAGGCGACCATGACTCTCCACTTCTATATATCCTTTGTAGTTTTAAGCAACGTTTGCCCACTTAGCATTCCCCCTAGTTTCTGTCCAGTCATCCCTTTACATATACTCGTTAGGTAAGCTGTTCCCTATTTCTTCTGCTCTTGTTGCTTTTAAAATGTCTTGTGCGTGTTAAATTCTCCAAACCATCCTTCCTTATTATGCGCCCTAGAAATTTCGACTGTTACATTTTGCTTCTAAGTATCAGAATTGTTTTGGTCTCCATTTTCTTTAAATGTTTCTCTTTTCTTTTATATTTTTTTTTTATCTTTTGTCTTTTCTCTTTTCTCTTCCCCTTGCTGGGTAGAAAATTTATCTGTGAAATAGATTAATTTTTGGTTTCCTTTCTTTTTTTTTCTTTTTCGTCTTGTCCAGGAGTTGAGCGAACAATAAGTTGAATCTTTATTTTCCTTGGCTCTCAGGATATCTTTCTTTGTTTCATTGTATCTACTTCTTTTAGCACGCCAGAGTTTCATTTCTTTGAATCAACACTTTACTGAATCTTTTCAGCTCGGTAACCTTAATAGATTTCTATCAATTCTGCACATCCAAATTTATAGCAGATCATAGCAAGTTTTTCCTCAAGGACACATGACACAGTGGATAAAAGCGTTGGTTAGATCCAGTGACAGGACCCAAAGATTGTGAGTTCAATACCTGGTTAAGGCAGTGG